CTCGCTGCCCAGGCGGGTCTCAAACCCGCGGGCTTAGGCAATCCACTCACCTCAGCCTCCTAAAGGTGCAGGATTACAGGCTGAGCCACCGAGCCCAGCTGTTTTTTTTTTTTTTTTTGAGTTGGAGTCTCTCTGTCACCCAGACTGGAGTGCAGTGGTCGCTCCCAGGCACCGCAGTCTCGACCTGCTGGGCTCCGGCGATCCTTCTGCCTCAGCTTTCCGAGTAGCTGGAATTACAGGCGTGCGCTACCACGCCTGGCTAATTTTTTTTAAAATTTATTGTTGCGATGAGGTCTCACCTACCCAGGCGGGTCTCGAACCCACGGGCTCAGGCAATCTACTCACCTCAGCCTCCCAAAGGCGCGGGATTACAGACTGAGCCACTGAGCCCGGCTTAATTTTTTTTTTTTTTTAATTTATTGTAGAGACGAGGTCTTGCCAAGTTGCCTGGACTGACCTCAAACCTGTGGGCTCAGGCAATCCACTCGCCTTGGCTTCCCAAAGTGCTGGGATTACAGGCTGAGCAACCAAGCCCGGCCAAGGGATATTTTTAACCTAACATCTTCCAAGCACCCTAAGAAGCCATTATTATTATGTACACCAGATGAAAGCCTTGACAACCGAGAAGGGTGAAGTCTCTTGCCTAAGACTACAAAACTAGAGACTGGCAAAGCTTGCACATTTATTAGCATCTGTAACTATATCTGGACATTTTCTGGATTGTCACCATTCCTCTTAGCAAGAAGCAGCCAGGAGAGAAAATGCAGAGAGAAGAGGGAAAATCACCTCCTTTTTCTTCCTTTTTTTTTTTTTTGAGTTGGAGTCTCACTCTGCTGCCTAGACTGGAATGCAGTGACTGCTCCCGGCCACCGCAGCCTCGACCTCTGGGCTCCGGTGATCCTTCCGCCTCAGCCTTCCAAGTAGCTGGAACTACAGGCATGCGCTACCACTCTCGGTGAATTTTTTGATTTATTGTAGAGATAAAGTCTCGCCAAGTTGCCCAGGTGGGTCTCGAACCCGCAGGCTCAGGCAATCCACTCACCTCAGCCTCCCAAAGTGCGGGATTACAAGGCTGAGCCACCGAGCCTGGCACCTCCTTTTTCTTGACGCTGTACTTTTATTAATCTGACTCAACGTAAGTCTCAGAGGTTACTCTACTTTAGCAGGCACACCACATGGATAGAGAAACTTACGAGGTGGAGAGAGAGGGATTAGGGAGGTTAATAAAGTGGGGGACCTCACCAGTCCGGCAGCAACTCTTTGATTTTCTCCATCAGTCCTAAGGAAGGGTCCAGCTGGAGGAACCAGGCCAGCTGGATTGCACTGAAGAGGAAGAGCCAGCTGAGGGGGCTGGCGGGGAACACGCCAGTGAGAAAGTCATCCTGTGGGGAGGAAAGGACACCCATTCAGTCACTTGCCCCCTCCTCTGAGCACCTACTCTGTGCCATCCTCAGATACTGATTGAGCACCCACTGTGTGCTGAGCCCTGCATGGGATGCTTGAGATCCAGGAAGAAACAGACAGATCTGGGTCCTGCCCTCAGGGAGGTTGGTCCCCGGTAAAGCAAGTGTTCATGGCAGGAAGCCAGGAAACAGGAGGCGCCGTGGGGTGGCGAGTTCTAGGGATTAGGGAGGAATCCTTGTTAGGAGGATTCTCTCAGGCAGGACCTCGAAGGTGAGTCGGCCTGAAAAGCAAAATGATCCACTGTGCATAGTAGACATCGTTGGCCTTCTAGGAACACCTGGTTAAGGAATGATGGAATGCCCGGGGTTACTAAAGAGACTCCTGGAAGCATGAGAGACAACTTACACCGAATGGGTGGGCTACATTCCAGGTACTGTTTACAAGGATTAATTTTTTTTTTTTTGAGTCAGAGCCTCACTCTGTCACTGAGGCTGGAGTGCAGTGGCACGCTCACGGCCATCACAGCCTTGACCTGCTGGGCTCAGGCAATCCTCCCACCTTAGCTTTTCAAGTAGCTGGGACCACAGACGCACGCCACCATGCCTGGCTAATTTTCCTTGATTTATTTTAGAGATGAGGTCTCGCCAATTTGCCCAGGCGGGTCTCAAACTCCTGGGCTCAAGCAGTCCTCCCGCCTCAGCCTCCCAAAGTGCTGGGATTACAGGTGCGAGCCACTGTGCCTGGCAAGAAACCACTTATTTCTTTTCCCCAGTACCCTTTATAAACAGGACAGCCTCAGAGATCATGATTTAGAACTTGGGCTCTGGAGACCACGAAGGGTAGCTCACGCGTATGGTCCCTGCACTTGGGGAGGCCACGGCGGGAGGATCACTTGAAACTGGGAGTTTGAGACCAGTCTGGGCAACACAGCAAGACCCATTTAAAAATATTTTAAAGCCGGGCTCGGTGGCTCAGCCTGTAATCCCACGCCTTTGGGAGGCTGAGGTGAGTGGATTGCCTGAGCCCGCGGGTTCGAGACCCGCCTGGGCAGCAAGACCTCATCTCTACAATAAATCAAAAAAACAGCCGGGCATGGTAACGCGCGCCTGTAATTTCGGCTACTTGGAAGACTGAGGGGGAAGGATCGCCGGAGCCCAGCAGGTTGAGGCTGTGGTGGCCAGGAGTGGCCACTGCACTCCAGTCTGGGCGACCAAGTGAGGCTCCAACTCAAAAAAAAAATTTTAAAGTATGTTGTAGAAACTGCATGTCACTGTGTTGTTCAAGCTGGTTTGGAACAGCCGGTTTCAAACAATTCTCCTGCCTTGGCCTCCCAAAGTGCTGGGATTATAGGCTGAGCCACTGCACCCAGCCAGCTGTCAGTGCCTACTTCTGATGCTGTGGACTGCTATACAGTGAGGGCTTCATAATAACAGGATACATCTCCCTGCACCCAGGGCGTCTTTAAAGCCTCTCATTCCCCTGCAACCCGGTGACATAGCAATGATGACCATCCCCGTCATATGGGTGAAGAGGCTGAGGAAACAGGAAGTTGAGCAGCCAGGGAGTGGAGCTGGGATTTGAACCCAGGTCCCCTGGCTCCATGGTCCCACTGTCCCCCACTCCAACCGCCGAGCCATCCTGTGACCCTAATGTATCAGGCCTCACTTCAAGGCTCTGGGGTTTGCTGGGTCTGAAATGCCATATTCATGTGGAGACCATTTCAAAGGACACTCTGACCTGATGAGTAACCTGCTAGGTGCCATGCCAGGTGACCCTCGGGAAGTCATTTGAAACAGCCCCGTGATGTAGGTGTCGGGACCACATTCCAGAAAAACAGCCTCAGATAGTGAGACATTTTGTGCAACAGTGATTTGTCTGACGTCTTCCACCGTGTTTTCCTATTCGAGCACACCATGTGGTCTTGTTTTCTTCCTCCCACGTTAATAATATGTAATGTATTGTCCAGTCTGTTGTTCAGAGATGATGTGGAAGGACGCACTCGGGATTCCTGAAAACCACTCCTCAGCTGGTCGAGCAGAAGCTTGACACGTTTCAAATGGGACATAGGTCTTTCATTGCTTTTGAATGGAAAACTTCCAGGAAACTTACATTTTTGAAAAATTTGCGCTTACCTAAGTCTGTCGTGTGTAATCACTAGCATTCTCTTGATGTCCCTTGAGAGGGGACAGTTGAGTGGTTTGCTAGATTTGCCCATGTCCCCTCAGAGGGGACATCTGGGTGCAAAGGGCTAGAATGTTTCTTGGGGCTCTTTTTCCGTCGGCCTGCCCCCCCCCCCACTGCAAGGCCCCACAGTCCTGATTGCTGTCCTTACAGATTAAGTTTGCCTGGGGTCTCACTGTGGAATATTTTGACCATCACCCCTGCATTTGAGTCAAGACCTGAATCCCTTTCAGTCTCAGATGTCCCCTCTGCCCAGTGGCCCCAGCAGTCTCCTATATTGGTCTTCACATCAGGGTAAAAATGACTGCTTTTTTTTTTTTGAGTTGGGGTCTCACTCTGTCGCCCAGGCAGGAGTGTACTGGCATGATCACAGCTCACTGCAGCCTCAACCTCCTGGGCTCAGGTGATCCTCCTGCCTCAGCCTCCCAGGTAGCTGGGACTACAGGCGCATGCCACCACACCTGGCTAATTCTTGTATTTTTTGTCGAGATAAGGTCTTACTGTGTTGTCTAGGCTTCCTTCCTCATTTTTTTTTTTTTTTTTTTTTTGAGTTGGAGTCTCGCTCACCTGGCTGGAGGGCAGTGGCATGCTCACTGCCACCGCAGCCTTGACCTGCTGGGCTCAGGCGATCTTTCTGCCTCAGCCTTCCAAGTTGCTGGAACCATAGCCGTGCACCACCAAGTCCGGCTAATTGTTTTTTTTGTTTTTTTTTTTGAGTTGGAGTCTCACTCTGTCGCCCAGCCTGGAGTGCAGTGGC